TATTTTAAACCCGGTTAAAAACGGGTGTCTACACCAGCAAGCAATAAAAAGACTACCAGTCATTTTACTCTTATTCAAAGTGATGTTTGAGGGTCTTCCACTATTCCTAACATAACCAGGGCTAGATGGTTTATGTCATTTATAGACGATTGTAGTAGGGTTACATGGATCATCCCACTAAAACAAAAATCAGATGTTAGCTCTACCTTTAAAACCTTTTAGACCATAATTAAGACTCAATTTGGAGCTGAAATAAAGCGGTTCAGATCAGACAATGCCAATGACTACTTTAAACAAATCACATCCCCTTATTTTTTTAGAAAAAATGTATCATACATGAATCCTCCTATGTAGATACTCCCCAACAGAATGGTGTAGCAGAAAAGAAGAAAGGTCATATCCTTGCTACAACAAGAGCCCTTCTATTTAAAAACAAAGTTCATAAAAGTACTGGAGAAATGTTGTGTTAACTTCCACATACATGAAAAATAGACTACCCACTAAAATTCTTAAATCTCAAAGTCCCCTTCAAGTCCTCACAATTTTTTTTCCAAATTTCAGCCCATCACTTAACCTAAAACCTAAAATATTTGAGTGTGTTGCTTTTGTTCATATACATTCTCAAGGCTAGGGTAAACTTCATCCAAAGACATTAAAATGCATATTTATTGACTACTCTTCCACTCGAAAAGGCTACAAGTGCTATCACCCATCTACAATGAAATACTACACATCTGTTGATGTTACATTTGTGGAAAAAGAAAGTTATTTTATTGTTCCTTATTTTCAGGGGAGATATCATTTAGGAAAGATAAGGTTGCAGTTTTTTCTACTTCAGTCTCTCATTAACTTCCCTACACCTATATATTATGAACAAATACAACAAACACATCCTACCCCTACTCCAACTTCTCCACAACCAGAGCCCAATACACCACAGCCAAGCACCCAAGACACTACTCGTCCCCTACTGGTCTATTCAAGGAAGAATACATATATGCAGATTCAATCATCCCTTTCTCCTGCTCCTATACAATCTGAGGTACATTCTAAAACTCATCCTGATCAGAATGATACTAAAAATTCTATGTCTACTTCTGATTTTGAATTTCACATCGCTATTAGAATAGGGAAAAGAACCTATACCACAAAACATCCTTCATACTTTGTTCATGACCAACAAAATCTTATCTCCCAATCACCAAGCCTTTCTCACTAGTCTAAATGTCATTGTCATTCCTAAAGACTGTATCTGAGGCATTAGAGAATGAGAACTAGAAAAAGGCTTGAAAGATGAAATGGAAGCACTAAAGAAGAATAAAACATGGGATTTAGTGAAGCTGTCATAAGGGAAGAAAACAGTGGGTTGTAAATGACTGTTTATAGTTAAGTATAAGTCGGTTGGCTCTTTAGAAAGGTACAAAGAAAGGCTAGTGGCAAAGGGATACTCTCAAACCTATAGGATAAACTACCTTGAAACATTTTCCCCTGTTGCAAAGATGAACATAGTGAGAGTCCTATTGTCCTTAGTAGCTATTCAGGGATGAAATTTGCAACAGTTTGACATTAAGAATGCCTTCTTACATGGAGATCTTGAAGAGAAATTGTACATGAATATACCACCTAGATTTGGTCCAAATACTAGAAAAGTAGTTTGCAGATTAAAGAAGTCTCTATATGGACTAAAATAGTCCTTAAGAGCTTGATTTGGGAGATTCACTAAAGTGATGTTGAGTCAAGGTTTTTAACAAAGCCAATGCGACCACACTCTGTTTGTGAAACTCTCCTTTAGGGGGAGTGACTTCACTTTTGGTATATGTAGATGCTATGATTGTTACAGGAAATGATTCTGAAGGAATTGGTAGTCTAAAAGAAGTGTCATATAAAGGAGTTTGAAGTGAAGGAACGAGGAAGATTAAAATACTTCATTGGTATTGAGGTGCCACCTCACTCACAACAAGGGATTTTTATATCTCAACAGAAGTATACTTTGGATTTGTTGAAGGAGATTGGAAAACTAGGTTGTAGACCAACAAAAATCCAATAAAAGTCAATCACAAGCCTGAGAATCAAAAGATGATAATTTAACAGTTGATAGAAGTTCATTTCAAAGACTTGTGGGAAGACTTATTTATTTGTCACACACCAGACCAAACATAGCATATGTTGTTGGAGTTGTGAGCCAGTTCATGCGCAATCCTAAGAATCACATCCAAGGACTATGGATCAACTTTTGCAATACTTGAAGACCACACCGAGCAAAGAAATTCTACTTAAAAGAGGATGAAATTTGACTTCGGAAGAATATACTGATGCAGACTATATAGGGTCCATAGTTGATAGAATGTCAACCTCAGGGTACTGCACTTTCTTTGGAGGAACTTAGTTACTTAGAACAAAAAAAAAACATAATGGTGTGGCTAGATCCAATACAAAAGTTGAATTTCGAACTATGGCTCTGGGAATTTTTAAGTTATTATGGCTGAAGATTATTTTAGAGGGTTTGAAGGTCAAATGAAATGGAGCAATGAAGCTATATTGTGATAACAAGTCAGCAATTAATATTGTTTATAATCCAGTTCAACATGACATAAAAAAGCATGTTGAAGTAGATAGATATTTCAGAAAAGAGAAATTTGACAATGGCCTGATTTGTACTCCCTATGTGACCACTGGAGATCGAGTTGAGAATATACTTACCAAAGGATTACCTGGTTAGTATTTTCAGAAGTTGACAGGCAAACTGGGGATGGAAGACATCAATGCCCCAACTTGAGGGGGAGTGTCAAAAATTAGATCCCTAAATCAAGTAGATTATGTAATTTGGTAGGATATTTGTGGATGTATCTTATTAGTTAGGATTGCTTACTTTAAGGAATTATATTTATTCCTAAAATCAATCACTTATCTAGTTTAGCAGTTTCCTAAGATAAGACAGTAATTTGTATATTTAATTGTGTAAGTCTCCTACATGAAATATATGAGAGAATTACAGAAACCTCTTTATTTTGAAAGTTCAATATATATTTCCTCAATTATACTACTAGTTAACCACTACTTTTAGTAATAGTTTCACGTCAACTGTTATCGTCATTTGTTGTCATAACTTTTGATGTTGCTCTATATTACTTAAAATTCAAGAACTTTATGTGAATACATATTATCACATCCCAAATTCGAAGTTAGAAGTTTTAGTTTAAATCAATTGAATCAATAGATCTTTAAATTCAAGAATTTTATGTAAATATATATTGTCATAATCGAAATTCAGAGTTAGAAATTATTGCATAGATATAGAGATGATCTTTTAATTGAGGAAAGATTATATTGAACCGTTAAACTATTACAAAAAGTGGTGGTTAACTAGTAGTATAATATAAAATGAGGATAAAGCATACATCATTTTATTATTTATCAATGCTAAAAATAGATAATAATAATAATAATAATAATAATAATAATAATAATAATAATAAATAAAAAAATTATCCATTCACTTAGACTCAATTATTGGATTAAAATCATGTAAAAGATCGGTTCGGTTCGAAGATGGGTAAACTAAATTCGGGTTGCTTTCAGTTCGGGTTTTTTCAATTCGGGTTGATTTTGGTCCAGCTAAAACTCATTTTGATTCGGGTTTCGAATCAATTTCGAGTCATCCTATTCAGGCCTATATCGGGTCTCGATTCGGGTAAATCAGTTCAAGTAATCGGATACGGGTCAAATTTGCCAAGTCTAGTGTTTGGTGTTGAAGAAAATAGGCTTATGCGTATGTGATTTAGCCATCAAATTTTACATGAGTCCAGTTTCCAACATTTTTTACTTAAATCCTTTTATGGGTTTTGAAGGGGAGGTTGCTGAAATTTCAGATCAGGTGCAGCACAATACTAAGGGTAAAACAGAAGTTGCTGAAGTTGTATTAGAAGTTAAAGAAGCTAGGTTCTGAAGGGGTAACCAGTATATGAGATTTTTGGTGAAATGGTTGGGTAAACCAGCAAAAGGAAGTACTTCTCAGCTGGAGAGAATGATCCAGAAATTTATGCTCAAGCGGTGAAAATTTTCTCACTGGAGTTGAGTTTTCCAGGCCAATCAGAAAGATACATGAGCTATTTTATACTATTTTATTATTTCAATTTTATTTATTAATTATTAGACATAGATGGCAAGGATTATAAGTTATTTTTCGATCGTTATTAACTCAACCAAGGAAAGAGAAAACAAGATGGCTATAAAATACTACATATACCTTAATGTTGTATCTTGTATCTGTAGTTACCAATTGTACATTCTAAAACTTTCTTGCAGCCAACTCTACAATATCATGCTATAAGTCAACATTTCACCAAATCCAATTCCACTCTTCTTGTATTGCAACATATACAAAATTTGGGCTAATAATATCATTTATCATTCACTTAACTGAGGATGTTCAGTCCCTTTCTGCATTCTAATCATGGCAATCTCAAATTTTATGCAAACTGAGATGATGTGTTCTCACCTCATGTAAATAATGATCCGATGGTCTTCAACCATAAAGCTTAAATGATAATGTCAAATCGTAATTTATGTTTACTCTGTACTGATCTGAAGATGCTTGGTAATACATGTCTATGTTATATGAACTCATGCATGAGTATCTAATGCAAATATGTGCCCGTATGTTAGACCATCTTTTGTTAAAATATTTTAACTTCAACAAAACATGTTCTACCAGTTGAACATAGATAAACTTTAGTTCAAGTGTATTCTATAACAAACAAATGAAACTTTTATTCATTGGATGTTTGGCTCTCTAACTAAAATACTAATCAAAAGGGGACTGTTGCATCCTTATCCATCAAGCTATATCGTTGTACTAAATGGCTTCTCATGTATGTAGGTACAAAAGTTTTTCCTTATAAAACAAATAAACCATAAATAAATAAATAAGAGTACAAAGCAAACATTTCTTATAAGAAACAGAACCGGACTGTAAAATGTGAACACAAAAAAGGCAATTTTTCCATAAATTGCTTTCAAAGAATGCCTCGATGCATAAAAAAAGTTAAAATACCTGCTTGTCCAAGTATGAATGGGAAACTTGATTTTCCTTCCCTCCAAATTTTCAAACTGAAAGTGCTAAGGGCTAGCACAGCACCTCCAAAGAGTAAAGTGGCAGGATTCCTCGAAAATATAAAACCAACAAGCCCCCCGCTTAGAACAAGACCACCTATAATTGTGTAAAACAAGTTTTCAAAAGCGAAATTGAATGTGTTATTTTATTAATTCATAGAAGAACAAAAATTTTATTTAATGACAAAGCAAATATGTTATAAATATCAAGCATTGGAAAAAATACACCAAAATTTGCAACCCACTTTGAGAAACGATTAACCTGAGGATTACAGAGTCTAAATAAATTGATATTGTAACGAGCACAAATAATACATAAACCTGGACTGGTAGAAAAGAAGACTTAAAATAGAAAAGGATAAATGTGAGAAAGCATTTCAAGGAAATAGATGATCAGCCAAGTAATTTTTCAAGCAATGCAAACCATATTTAATAATCATTTCAACAATTATCACCAAAAGAGCATCAACTAAATCTTGTACTGCACGCTCACCATAAGGAATTCCAAAACAGAAATCATGGATTTTTGCAGCCCTTTTCGGTTGGATGATATCATTTTCCACTCCTAGGTTACTTGTATTTTCAGGAACATGCTCTTCTGGATTTGGATATGACTTAGTCACTTCTGCTGGTTTTGATTCTCCAGCAACATAACTTGGTGTAGTTTTAAGTTGAGAGCTAGCAGTTTCAGCACCTTGCCCATCAACACTCATAACAACAAATGACTGGAAATTTGAAGCAGTCAGCATCTTTTCCAACACAATAACTAATTGCTTTGATGGTTACAAAGACACGCCCATATTAAGATATTGAGAATGAAATATTAACACATCAAATTCAATTATTTTCTACATTTTTATGATTTAACATATGAGCAGAAGGAATAATTGTTATAACATTCCCTAAAACATTTAAAAGTAATAGTTAATCCAATAGCAAAGCATGAAAACAGAAGGAAATCAAAAAAGAATAAGCCCTCATTTAGCTGTTTCTTTTCCACTTGTATTATCAATTTATTTTTTACTTCCTAAAATTTGCAACAACAAAAAAAAACCAAAATAAAGGCTGAAAGTGAAAATTAGATTTAATTACGCTGAAGAAAATAGTTAAAATAGAATAAAACTAATTCTACAAATACTTTTTTACATATAGAATTAGAACATCGGAATACTTATTTAAACATAATTATTTCATAAAACTAAACATTTTCACTACGATTTGAGTATTAATTATTTTTCATGCCACTCGAGATAATTGATTGCCCAACTGTAGGATAAAATAACTATTATTCCAGTGGAGCGTATTGCAAGCAAAACTTGAAGCCTTAAACTCAAGGAAAATTACTTAAAACTCCAGCGAAATGGTTTTAAGGCTTCAAGTGTAAAGAAGACGAAGCCTTTAAATTTAAGAAAAAACCAAATAATGTTGCTTTTTGCTTAGTTTAAAAACTCCAGTGAAGGTCTGAGAATCAACCCAAATATAACGGAAAAGAAACGTTTAAAACTTTAATTCCTTAACCGAGACTTCAAAAGAAAACGTTGGGCGGTAAACGCAACAAAAGTAGGGAATCTAGAATAATTAACCATAATGTAAAACAGATTGATGACTTATGAGGATTAAAACCCTACAAAAACAGCGAAAGGGATCATATTTCAAGTTTTTTGCTTATTTTTAATATAAATATGAAAAATGGAACATGTAAACAAAGCAATGATCAACATGTTAAGCAATTCCATATCACCCGTGCATTTCAAGTAAATTTATTTATATGAAAACTATTGTAACAACCCGAATATTTACAAAATAGTATTTAATTGAAATTGGAGGTTAATTGTAAAAATTGGCAAAAATTTGGGGACTAAATTGAAAGATTTTAAAACTTGGAGCTTGTTTTAGAGTTAAAGAAAATTCAAGGACTAAGCCCTAAATTTACCCAAAAATTAGGTAAGTTTGGGGTTATATGATATATACGTGTGGTTTCTGTTTCAAAAACAGAAAACCACACTCCCAAATTCCCTTCCCCTTCGCCGGTTTCCGACTTAGATCCCAACGCCGTCCGAATTCCGATTGTCGTTTTGAAATCACCATCGCGTTCGTTATCGAGTCAGGAACAAATCCTTCAATTTAATTGAAGCGAATCGCTGCCAAACGTCGGGAATTTACAGTCAAAGTCTCGACGATTTTGTTAGCTCTATCGCCGGGAAAATCTTAAATTCACCGACGATCGTTGCTCTGTTTACGACACCTCCTGCACCATCGTGTTCCTTGTGTCGTTGCGAGTTTGCCGGTGTCAACCTTGTTCGCTGTCGATGGCGGCGCGTGAGGAGGTGGAGCAGTCAAAGATTCGGCCGAGTTGAAATTCGAGCTCTCCACCGTTCAAAATTTGAACCGATCGTTGTAAGTATCTCGAAATCGCTCAAAATAATTTTTGAAAATTTTTCCGTAATTTTTAGACCCCCGGAAGAGGCCTCACGCGCCACACACGCCGCCGTAGGGAGAGTGAGCAGCTGGAAAACTGGTTTGACCGGTTTTGATCGGTTTGACCGGTCTGAACCGGTCTGACCCGACCCGACCCGACCCGACCGTTGACCCAACTCGACTCGACCCGACCATTGACCATTGACCTTATTTGACCAGAACCTTAAATGGCTTTGACCGACTCTTAAACGACCGTAAATCTTTTCCGGGTATACCTATTCTGATAGTTTTCGACGTGCCAAATCTATTTCCGCTGTCCGTTTCACCAAATTCGAACCCGAAGACCTCCAAATCGACGGTTAAAGTGGTTGACTTTGACTTTAACCAAGAATTTAAATTTTCGAAAAGTCATACTTTATGTTTTTCGACGTCCTGATTCCGATTCCGCAATCCGTTTGGCCAAATTCAAACCTGAAAGTCCTCCAAATTGATAGTCAAACCCTAAAAATGCTTATATACTTAAGAATTTTAGCTTTGAACAATTAAGTAAGATTTGGGGCTGATAAATTATTATTGTTTGAAGGTACAAGAGATTCTCCGGATCGTTCGACAGCTCGACCCAGTTCTTCTAGATCAGTTAAACCACGTGTTCTAATATTCACCCATAAGACCAGTAAATTTTATGATTTTAGAGATTTATTTATGTTACCCATAAGTAATATAGTGTTATTATAAAATAGGTTCGAAAACTGTAGCAGAGCATGGTGAAACCATCAATCAGTAGATCTACTATTTGAACCTATTATCGAGGTGTGTTCCCTAATTATTATTGAACTGTTTTATTGGTTTTAATATGAGGTACACTGAGTTCTTTGGTTACTGTTTTATTGATGCACCAATTTAATGTGATGATTTATGGAATTTGTGTCACGGTGCAATTGAACTTTTGGATTGAATTACAATAGTATAGCTCTAATCAAGCTAATAAACAGAATGGGCCTAATGTGACTCTTGGGGTCCCAAGATACATTAGGTTGGCTTCCCTTGCTGTGTGCTTAGGGTAAGCTATATGGACTTGGACTTACGGGCCTAAGGATACAAGCTCTAAAGCTTATCCTTAGGTTGGCTTTCTTTTTGCTGTGTGCTTAAAGTAAGCTATATGGAAAATAGTTTTTTGGAACTACTGATGGTGTACAAGAAAAGGGTTTAAACTATGATTTTCAAAGTTAAACTCTTTTATGAATTTATGAGATTTACTGGACTATGATTTGTTTAATGTACCTATTGTGATTTTAAGGTAATATTGGGACACACTGAGCGTAGCTCACCTTTCGAAAATGTTTTTTTCCCTTTCAGATACTGTTGGTTAGATATCTCGGTTCGAGCACTTGGAGGATTAACATATCTCTTGAAGTATATCTGATTGTAATGTTTTATCTTGCAAGTTGACTTTATTTTGGTGACATGGACCTTATTTTAAAGTATTATATTTTATGATGATGACACTTTTGCTATTACTGTTTGGTTTATCATGATTTTGATTTTGAAGACATGTTTTAAATTAATTTATTACTTATTGGTATTATATTTACAAGTTGGGTTTTGATAGTATAATTTATTTCATGATATTTATAATGTGATTTTACATTGATTGAATAACGGTTTCAGAAAATGTCTTTAAGAATCATGTATGTGATCCACTAGACTTAGTCGAAACGCATAAGCTGGGTCTAGGGGGTTACATTTATTGGTATCAGAGCTTTTGGTTTTTAACCCTCGGACTGTGTATAAGTCCATATTGAAAATACGGTTTTGAAATATTTTACAAAACAAGTTACAAAGGCCATGTCACAAAATTATTAAGATTTTTAAATTGTGTTCGAGACTCCAAGTGCTTATCTAGCCCTAAGTTTTATCTTCTGTAGTAAACTTGAGATCCATCAAAATGAGTGCTAGACGTGGTCGTCGAACTAGCCATGGACGAGGTCGAGTGGCTAGATTTACAGATCCGATCGATGAGATACGGGTAGATCCCCCACCTCCGATAGGTGATCCTGCTCCTACGACCCCAACAAATCTGCCTCATATCGTTGGGTTTGGACTCAACTAAGAGATATCAGGGTGCTGTGGCGATGTTAGATGGCAATGCCTACACTTGGTGGGAGTCAGTGACCAGTAGTGTTCCTACCGATCGTTTGACCTGGAATTTCTTTAAGGATCGCTTTCGGAGCCGTTTTCTGGGAGAGCGCTACTTAGCTCAGAGACGTCAGCAGTTTCAAGACCTGGTATAGGGAGACATGACTGTTTCTGAGTATGAGATCGAGTTCTTGAAGTTGCTGAAGTATGGATTCAGTATGGTACCTACTGAGAGAGATCGATGTCGTAAGTTTGCCCTTGGACTCAGATACGAGCTGCGTAGGCAAGTTGTAACCCATCAGGATGAGATATTTGATGTGCTGGTGGGCAGAGCCAAAGATGCTGAAGAGGTGGAGGTTTTAGCTTCTGGTAGAGAGCGTGTTGAACAGGAACGATCTAAGAAATTTTTAGGCCCGATGGAGTCATCAGCACAGTCCGGGAAAAGAAGTCGTACTTCAGTCCCTCAGAGAAGCAATACACGTTTCAGGCCTGCAGTATCCTCACCGTTAGTTGGCAGTCGAGGCGGTTCCTCGTCGTATTATCATGGGTTCCTCTGTGAGTTTTGTGGTAAACAACACACAGGAGAGTGTCATAAGAAGATGGGTCTTTGCTATCAGTGTGGATCTAGTGGTCATTTTTGGAGGGATTGTCCTCAGCTAGCTTCGTTTAAGCAGACCTCTACCCAGACTCCTGTGCGTTCTCAGACTACAATACATACCCTAATTAGAGATCATAGTCAAGAAAGACTCGAGGATTAGCATCCAGGACAGACAGTAGAGCCCGACCTCAGCAAAATAGAGGGCCAACAGTTTTTGAGGCTAGACAACCAGCTTTGTTTTATGCCACCAGACGTCGGGATGACAGAGATGAGCCTGAGGTTATTACAGGTACATTTACTATATATTCCATTCCATACTTTGTATTACTGGACAATGGCTCCACTCACTCCTATGTATCAAGCTCGGTATCTCGAAACCTTCAGATTCCGATCGAGAACACTGAAAATAATGTTACGGTTACGAGTACAGTTGGAAAGGCGATATTAGCGAATAAAGTATTTCGACGTTGTCCTCTGGAGGTTAAGGGAGAAATTTTTCTCGCTGATCTTATGGAGCTTCCTTTAGAGGAGTTTGATCTAATTCTTGGGATGGATTGGTTGACTAAACACAAGGTAATCTGGATTGCGAGTACAAGA